CGAGGTCGCTTGCGGCCGAGGCAGTCCTTGTATTTTTGCTAATTTTGGCTTAATCAGGCAATGTTATACATTTTCATTTCCAAGTTAAGCCGAGGTCGCTTGCGACCGAGCCAGTCAGTATATGTTCAATAATATTGGTTTAACAGGCGTTATCATACAATTTCTTTTTTAAGTTGAGTCGAGGTCGCTTGCGGCCGAGGCAGTCCTTGCATTTTTGCTAATTTTGGCTTAATCAGGCAATGTTATACATTTTCATTTCCAACTTAGGCCGAGGTCGCTTGCGACCGAGGCAGTGCTTGTATTTTTACTAATTTTGGCTTAATCAGGCAATGTTATACATTTTCATTTTCAACTTAAGCCGAGGTCGCTTAAAATTTGTTGTAAAATTTAAGAGTTTATGGCATAACATAAAAGTTTTAAGGAAATAACTTTTGTGAACACTCTGTATAGAATTGATCCCTTTTTTGCATGTTTTCAAAAGCGATCTTAAACGATTTTTCATGATAAAATTGCACTATTTACCAAATTTTATGTTACTAAGAAAAATTTCTTACGTTATCTTCTGACTTACAGGAACATCCTGTATATTTAACAAAGAGAGTATATTTTGCGTAAGCACTCTTCCTCCAGAAGTTTTTGTATTGTATTTGCCCTCTCTGCACCTACTTTTCCTACCTTAAAACTTATCTTCGTAATATTTATTTCGTCGTCCAGATCTTTTTCTTATGTTTGTGTTGTCTTTAAGCTTTCCTTCTATTTCTTTGCCGAAGTCTTGCCATTAACCATTCTTTGCTTCTCTGACTACTCTTTTTTGCTTCGTTTCTCCTCTTTATGTAGCTTTTATCTATCTTTTTCTTTTTTCGTTTGGAAATTCCTCTTTCATACCCTCTTCTTTTCTTTGCCTTTCTGCTTTCCCTCCTCACTCCACCATTTTGTTCTTTTATGCTTTGGGCTAATTCTCTTTTTCCCATGTTCTTCTACCGTCCATTGTAGATTGTAATTTTATGTTCACCTGTATAAAGCATATATGTGACAACATTGATGTATGGATAATGCAAGATAAGCAAAGTAAAAGCTGCAGAAATAAGGCATTTAAGGCGAATAAGAGGAAATGAAACATTTTAGTTTTAATTACTAAATTTGCAAAGCGGACTAACCGATAAAACCAAGATGGCCGAAACTATTAGATTAAGTTGGCAATAAATTTGAATTTGACAGCTCTAAAATTGTAAAAGTCTATAAATTACAAAAAATTATTGATAAATTGAGATTAATTTAAGAAATAGTTTTCGCCACGTTTCATATTTGAAACAACAACAAAAAATGACGCCCACGTCGTTTTAAAACGTCTTGCTTAGAAAGTGTTTCGCGCAATACGGTTCGTTGAGCAACAGATATTCATTCATTCCGTTTTAAAATCCGGAACGAAGTCCTTTTTGCTTTCCCCAATTCTTAAAGCGTGTTGTTTCTAAATCAATTTTAAACCTTCCGTTCGGTCCCTGTTTATTTCCTTTACAACTTTGTTTCTTCCTCAACATATGGCGCGCATATTTCCCAACCCAACAACTTTATTTTCTATTTACTCGAAACGTTTGTGAATACGAATACGGTGAATCGAATACAGTTTTATTGATTAATTGTTTTAACTGGAAATTTATCGCTCAATAATAAAAATAACAATAAGAATTCTTGGAATTATTCTTTTTATTTTAATTTCGATAAGATATCGTTTTAAATTGGAAACAGAAAGAAAGTTGAATCGTTTAATTTCATCCAATTTACCGAGTTGTTGTAGAAATCGTCGATTAATTTATTAAAAGCGTTACAATTTCCATCAATTTCTTCGCCTACTTTTATTACTATGTATTTGTATATTCTCTACTAACCTAGACTAACTAAACAATTAATCTCGTTTCCTGTTCTAAGAATAACGAGATCATTTCGGTTACTTCCGGCCTTTATAATCACCCTTATGCTTGCTTTATCGCTTTTCACCCGCATCCCACCACTTAATCCCGGCTTTTTGTTACTTAAGGTCTAAAAATAAAAACAAAAATTATCTTTGTTTCTATTTTAGAGTTTTAACTCATCTCAAAACTTTTCTGTGACTTAATTAGTCGGGTAATTGAATAAAATTGAATAAATTTCAAGGCCGAAAATGACTCAGCCAAATAATTAAAACATCTCGATTCGAATCTTTATTTACGTTTTGTTTTATTTATTTATTTTTTATTACAGGATGTTGTTCTAGTTCTGATCCGTCCTGCTTAAAATGCTATTTAAATGGTTGCATGAAATGTCCGGATCTGATATTGTACCCGAGTAGGAAATCCGTTTTAACCCTTTCGCGACGATTTCTTTTTTGGGAGATATAGGAATTACATAAAACTTAGTGGTACATAATATATGTGTACCAGGAGTCGAGAAAGGGTTAACCTGCCCGTTCGGCAGTCGGTAATAGATGGTAATACTCGGGAAACGGAGCATGTTACAAAAAATTTTTTGGAACGAAAGTTGTAGCAAATTTTATTGCTACTAATATTGCTCTCTTGCTCTTTTGTTCCCAGATGCATAGATATCGAGAAAAATATGAAAATTGGAAAATTTGATGATTTTCGTTGTATTACTAGTTGTTAATGGTAATATTCGGGAAACGGAGCATATTACAAAAAAATGTTTGGAACGAAAGTTGTAACAAATGTTATTGCTACCAATATTGCTCTCTTGCTCTTTTGTTCCCAGATGCATAGATATCGAGAAAAATATGAAAATTTGATGATTTTCGTTGTTTTATTAGTTAATGGTAATTTTTGGGAAACGGAGCATGTTACAAAAAAATTTTTGAAGCGAAAGTTATAGCAAATTTTATTGCTAGCAATATTGCTCTCTTGCTCTTTTGCTCTCAGATGCATAGATATCGAGAAAAATATGAAAATATGAAAATTTGATGAATTTCGTTGTTNTAAAAAGAGTTAAAATCGAAATAACTCGGAAAGTTAATAAGCAAAATAAGTAGATTTTTCGTGTAGATGAAGAATATTTAAAAATTAAAGTAGATATTTAAACCTGAAGATGTGATTATTCCTTTATTTTTTAAGAAACATCAAAAATATTAAGATTTTCGTAAAGATCAGAAAATTTTAACCCAATTTGATGTATCACACCCTATATTTATCACAAAATTCACTTTTAAAGTAATATTTGTCATTATTTATTAGTGTTTTGTTTTCGGCCATCTTGAATTTATAAAAATAAAGATATCTCGGGTGTTCTACCACCTAGATATGTCAAATTTGGGCTCATTTAACACGTTTTTTAATTATCTAACGAAATATTTACGAATCATTTGTTTTCGGCCATCTTGAATTTTATAAAAAGAGTTAAAATCGAAATAACTCGGAAAGTTAATAAGCAAAATAAGTCGATTTTTCGTGTAGATGAAGAATATTTAAAAATTAAAGTAGATATTTAAACCTGAAGATGTGATTATTCCTTTATTTTTTAAGAAACGTCAAAAATAATACGATTTTCGTAAAGATCAGAAAATTTCAACCCAATTTGATGTATCACACCCTATATTTATCACAAAATTTACTTTTAAAGTCATATTTGTCATTATTTATTAGTGTTTTGTTTTCGGCCATCTTGAATTTATAAAAATAAAGATATCTCGGGTGTTCTACCACCTAGATATGTCAAGTTTNTTAATGGTAATATTCGGGAAACGGAGCATATTACAAAAAAATGTTTGGAACGAAAGTTGTAGCAATTTCTATTGCTAGCAATATTGCTCTCTTGCTCTTTTGCTCCCAGATGCATAGATATCGAGAAAAATATGAAAATTTGATGACTTTCGTTATTTTACTAGTTGTTAATTTAGTAGTATTACAAAAAAACTTTTGGAACCAAAGTTGTAGTAAATTTTATTGCTACCAATATTGCTCTCTTGCTCTTTTACTCCCAGATGCATAAATATCGAAAAAAATATAAAAATTAGAAAGTTTGATGACTCGTTAAAGTCTAAAAACAAAAATTGTCTTTGTTTCTGCTTTAAAGTTTTAACTCATCTCAAAACATTTCTGTAACTTAATTAGTTGTTTAATTGAATAAAATTGAATAAATTTCAAGGCCAATAATGACTCAATCATAATTAAAACATCTCGATTCGAATTTTTATTTCTGTTATGTTTTATTTATTTATTTTTTTGTTACAGGATGCTCTAGTTCTGATCCGTCCTGCTTAAAATGCAATTTAAATGGTTGCATGAAATGTCCNCATTATTTATTAGTGTTTTGTTTTCGGCCATCTTGAATTTATAAAAATAAAGATATCTCGGGTGTTCTACCACCTAGATATGTCAAGTTTGGGCTCATTTTACACGTTTTTTAATTATCTAACGAAATATTTACGAATCATTTGTTTTCGGCCATCTTGAATTTTATAAAAAGTGTTAAAATCGAAATAACTCGGAAAGTTAATAAGCAAAATAAGTCGTTTTTTCGTGTAGATGAAAAATATTTAAAAAATAAAGTAGATATTTAAACCTGAAGATGTGATTATTCCTTTATTTTTTAAGAAACGTCAAAAATAATACGATTTTCGTAAACATCAAAAAATTTTAACCCAATTTGATGTATCACACCCTATATTTATCACAAAATTTACTTTTAAAGTCATATTTGTCATTATTTATTAGTGTTTTGTTTTCGGCNAATTTCAAGGCCAATAATGACTCAATCATAATTAAAACATCTCGATTCGAATTTTTATTTCTGTTATGTTTTATTTATTTATTTTTTTGTTACAGGATGCTCTAGTTCTGATCCGTCCTGCTTAAAATGCAATTTAAATGGTTGCATGAAATGTCCGGATCTAATACTGTACCCGAGTAGGAAATGCGTATTAACCTGCCCGTTCGGATACAAAGAAGAATGGAGTACAAAATTGGATTTAATGGGAAGAATATGCGTGCCTGTCGAGAATTTAATATCGAATTACGCTTTAACGATTTTAGCAGGGATATTCTGCGGATCTTTTATATGTTTTTTTATAATCGGTTCGGGAATTCTTTATTTACAATACCAAAGAAAAAAAATCATGAAAGAACAACAAAGTGAAACAAACTCCGACGTTGATGACTCAACATCAACCCCGGAGCGGAAAGATTTTTTAAAACAACTCGAATTATTAAGACCTTACACCAAAACTTACTTACAAATGCTAAATGATACTCGAAAACAATTAAGAGAGACGATTAAACAAGATTCGATTAATTCAATGGGTGATTTATCAGCAACCGCGGTTTATCGCCCCGTTTTAAGAGATTTAGCCAAAATTTTGTTGCTTCTAAATCGGCCAATACAAAAAATCGCGATCCCTGATGATTGGGAACATTTATTAACTTGGGCTGAACAAGCTTTAAAACGTTATAAAAGAATGAGTGATATTTCAAATCAACCCCAAGTCGCGCAATTAATTAATTTTTTACAAGAAGCGCCATCTGTTTTAACAAGTAGTAATGAAAATAACGATTACGTTGCGAGGGGAAGTACCAATATGTCTACTTTTAAACCGGAGAGGGCGCCAGGTTCGAATTTGAGTTTAAATAATTTAAGTTTAAATAATTTAACTTCGAATAATGGTAAAAAAAGTTTTGATGGGACGAATTTTTTGAATCCGCAATGGAAATTCGAGTACAATATTATACAAAATTCGCAGTTCAACCCGGCTCAATGGAAAAATAGTAAAGAATATTTAAATAATCCGTATTATTTCGACGACGATTTTTGCCAGCTAGGGTTTCGGCCCCAAGATGAAATCACAACCGAATTGTGACAATAAATTAATTAATGTACCCGTTTTTAAGAAAAAACTAGTCATTAGATTTATTAGTTAATATTACAAGATTTTTTTGTACCTTTTTGTAAATATATTATTTATATCTAAAAATGTTTTCTTTTTTTTCTACAAATCTATTTTTTAACGCAAATATTGTGTTTTCTCTAAACATCACTAAATAAACAATTTTTTAGGTTAAAATAACCTACATTTTCGTAAAGATCAGAAAATTTTAACCCAATTTGATGTATCACACCCTATATTTATCACAAAATTCACTTTTAAAGTAATATTTGTCATTATTTATTAGTGTTTTGTTTTCGGCCATCTTGAATTTATAAAAATAAAGATATCTCGGGTGTTCTACCACCTAGATATGTCAAGTTTGGGCTCATTTCACACGTTTTTTAATTATCTAACGAAATATTTACGAATCATTTGTTTTCGGCCATCTTGAATTTTATAAAAAGTGTTAAAATCGGAATAATTCGGAAAGTTAATAAGCAAAATAAGTCGATTTTTCGTGTAAATGAAGAATATTTAAAAATTAAAGTAGATATTTAAACCTTAAGATGTGATTATTTCTTTATTTTTTAAGAAACATCAAAAATAATACGATTTTCGTAAAGATCAGAAAATTTTAACCCAATTTGATGTATCACACCCTATATTTATCACAAAATTCACTTTTAAAGTCATATTTGTCATTATTTATNTTTTTTGTACCTTTTTGTAAATATATTATTTATATCTAAAAATGTGTTTTCTTTTTTTCTACAAATCTATTTTTTAACGCAAATATTGTGTTTTCTCTAAACATCATTAAATAAACAATTTTTTAGGTTAAAATAACCTACATTTTCGTAAAGATCAGAAAATTTTAACCCAATTTGATGTATCACACAGTATCTTTATCACAAAATTCACTTTTAAAGTCATATTTGTCATTACTTATTAGTGTTTTGTTTTCGGCCATCTTGAATTTATAAAAATAAAGATATCTCGGGTGTTCTACCACCTAGATATGTCAAGTTTGGGCTCATTTTACACGTTTTTTAATTATCTAACGAAATATTTACGAATCATTTGATTTCGGCCATCTTGGATTTTAGAAAAAGAGTTAAAATCGAAATAACTCGGAAAGTTAATAAGCAAAATAAGTCGATTTTTCGTGTAGATGAAGAATATTTAAAAATTAAAGTTGATATTTAAACCTGAAGATGTGATCATTCCTTTTATTTTTTAAGAAACGGCAAAAATAATAAGATTTTCGTAAATTTCAGAAAATTTTAACCCAATTTGATGTATCACACCGTATATTTATCACAAAATTCACTTTTAAAATCATATTTGTCATTATTTATTAGTGTTTTGTTTTCGGCCATCTTGAATTTATAAAAATAATGATATCTCGGGTGTTATAACACCTAGATATGCCGAGTTTGGGCTCATTTTACACGTTTTTTAATTATCTAATAAACTATTTATGAATCATTTGTTTTCGGCCATCTTGGATTTTATAAAAAGTGTTAAAATCCAAATAACTTGGAAAGTTAATAAGAAAAATAAGTCGATTTTTCGTGTAGATGAAGAATATTTAAAAATTAAAGTAGATATTTAAACCTGAAGATGTGATCATTCCTTTTATTTTTTAAGAAACGTCAAAAATAATAAGATTTTCGTAAATTTTAGAAAATTTTAACCCAATTTGATGTATCACACCCTATATTTATCACAAAATTCACTTCTAAAATCAAAATTGACATTATTTATTAGTGTTTTGTTTTCGGCCATCTTGATTTTATAAAAATAACGATATCTCGGGTGTTATAACACCTAGATATGTCAAGTTTGGGCTCATTTTACACGTTTTTTAATTATCTAATAAACTATTTATGAATCATTTGTTTTCGGCCATTTTGGATTTTATAAAAAGTGAAAATCGAAATAACTCGGAAAGTTAATAAGCAAAATAAGTCGTATTTGGATTTATTTTAAAGGATTTTTCATGTAGATCAAAAATATTTAAAAATTAAAGTTGACATTTAAACCGGAAGTCCTCATCATTCCTTTATTTTTTAGATTTTGTGCTTGTATTCTTTTAAAATGAAATGTTAAATCAAATTTATTGCAAAATTGCGATTTAGTAATATTTTATAAAAAGACACACATGATAGCAAAATTAATTTCTTGGAAAATTTGATATTGAGTAAAAGTATGATAAAAGTTGACATTTTGATTGACACTTTTTATATTTATTTGACAGATAAACAAATCTGTTAGCCAATGAGAGCACTTAATGATATGTTGTGATATTAAACACTTTAATTTAATGTAATAACTAAAAAAATTTAATCCATGTGCTCTTTATTTATTTAAAATAAGTTTAATAATTAATAATAGGCAACCCAATTAACACTCAAATTAAATGAGTTGCATACATCAACCGAATTTGATTAAAAAAATTTTTTTTTAAATAATTTTAATTAATTAAAGGTTGTTAATTTATTTTTATTACATAATATAATAAAATAAACAATTTTTTTCTACTCAAATCAAAATAATTCAACTAAAACTTACCAAAGAAAAAAATTAATTATTTTTTAATTAAAATGTGACGATTTGTCACTTAAAAAAATTAATTAAAAACAAAAAACTCTCCCTTAATAGGTGATGATGAAAAAAAAATCGTTAATTTTCAGGTTATGTACAAATATCTTCAAGTTTTTCCTCTCTTCTTGTCATTTCACCTCATTTTTTGCTTTCTTACTTAAAAATAGGACTGTTTAATTCTCTTTTTATTTTATTTTTTTATTATTACTAAATTAATCCAAATCTGTTGATTCGATTATCTGTCTACTAGACGATGGCAGGGTGACTTCATCTTCACTATCATCCTCAGCGTTTAAAAATGACTGAATGAAATTGTCAAAGAATGCTTTTCCCGTTTGTGGAGGTGGTTTTAATCCGAAAAAAATCTGTCCGATTTTATCTAAATATTGAACGTAACACGGATCCCGTTTTATCGACGGTTCGTATTGTTGACACAAAACAGTAAATGACGTCATTTTTCGGCTAAAAACAAAATTAGTTGTTTAAAAAAACCAATTGGGTTGTTTAAAAAAGTACCTTTCTATCGCTTGTAGTAAAAACCACAAAAAATTTAATAAAGGTAATAAATAGGGCGGACCGTTTTTCTTGATACTCGGATGTTGTTGAGTGTAGCTTGCAAACGTTTGATTCGCAGTCGATTTATTGCTTAAACAAAGGTATTGTAACACGACTTGAGCTATAAACAAATCTGCTTCGCAACGGAATCCTTGCGTTCTTTGGAATTCGATTAAAAGGCGAGCGCATCCTTGGCCATCCTTTGAATGTAAATAATGATGTCTTGCTTGTATATAATTTTTTTCGTTCCAATATACTTGAGCTATACTCTAAAAATTAAATTTAATGTAACAAATCATCAATTTTACTAAATACAATAGAAATATAAAATAAAAAAATAACATACTATGCAACCAATATCACAGTATTGGTATTGCAATACGCGATTTGCGTATTTGGTTGCGTACTTGCAGTGATGACGTCGGGTACGATAATTAATTAACACACTGTATGTATATTTGTGTATCATCTGCATAAAAATGTACTTTGCTGTGCTTAAATATGTTATTTAATGGCGCTATATAGATTGAGAACAAAGTTAACCTTATTCAGCCTCATATTGTTTTAAAATAAAGCTAAAAAATAAACTTTTTTTAGAGTCGTCAAAGAAATTAAATTTACAGTTTCCTGTAAATTACGGTAAAAATTGTTAAACTGTTAAACTTTTCGTAATCAATCTTAAAAAACAGGATTTTTAATTTGACACTTCACGAAATTTTTGAATACAAAGAAATGTTGCTGTTTATTAGAATTTAAAAAAAATTATATGAGCGCCATCTATCAATAATTTATTAAGTCATTTAATAATAATATTAAATATTAATAAAAAAATGTGAAATAATGCAATCTATCCCAAGTTTTGTGTAAAACAAATATAAATTAAATAGTTCAACAAATGTATTTGTTTCAAATATCAGAAATATGTTTTTTTTTAATTTTTAGTTATAATTTACAGGAAACTGTAAATTTAATTTCTNGTCATGATTTCTCAAAATCCAAAACAGAAAAAATTTTTTTGACTACGTCATGAAATTCTCTGTAAAAAAGTGTCCATATAATGTCTTAGTTATAATACTCCACCTATAATAATAACCAAGATAATTGCACTTGATGGTTTTACGATAGCACTATTAAGTAAAAGTAGCCCATATAATGTTTTATTTATAATACTCCATCTTTGATAATAAGTGAGATATTTGCGAATGTTGTTTTCGCAAAATGTTCAGTTTTTGCCGATGGGGCGAAAACAAAATACGATAGCTGTTCGGAGTTTTCGGCATTAGCATTTTCTCGAAAAACGAGATCATGACATGTAAGCTACTTTTTTTCTATCTCTTTTAGTTTCGGAGATAGCCTATGCGGACATCGAAATTGGGACACCCTGTACAGTATAAAATGAGTGTTTAAAACTACCGGTACTTTAAAGTACCAGACACAAAGAGTTAATTTGAATTCAATAGTAGACCTAGGTATGCCATATCTCTGGGATACTTTAATTAATAATTTATGATATTTCCACAAGGATCCTTCAAGAAATGAATTTTGTAGTGAATTTTGAAAGTTATCGATGAAAATTGCAACAACGAAAATTTTATCAAAACTTCAAATATTGTTTTCTCAAAAACTAAAAGTTATTTTTCAAAACGGGCTGATTCATTGCAAAGAGGACACTTTTATTAACACTTTGGGAAATTTTCATACTCATATTCCAAGAACTGGATTTTATACGAATTTTTAAAACTTAATCGGCGAAAATTGCAAAATTCGATCATTTCAAAAATTTATTTCTCAAAAACTAAAAATGATTTTTTAAAACGGCTTGTTGCATTAAAAAGAGGATACTTTAATTAATAATCGAAAATGATAACAGCAAAAGTTCTGTTAGTAATTAGTGTGATGATCAATTACAAGCAAAGAGAAGAAAACTAGACGAAACTGCAACCAGAGATTTTATATATCGTATTGGGATTGTTACAATTCCTGTTCCAGATATTGCATATTTTTGCTATAATCAAGTTGTGGGAAAAATGAAACCAGTCAATGCTGAGCAGAAAAGGTTGCTCTGTTTTCCCATAAAAGGTACGTAGTCCTTTATTCAGAATTTAAGACCTATTAAGAAACAAGAAGACTGTTTTGTTTTAATTTTTTGCAATTAGATTTTTAGAATACACCCAACTCTCTTTTTACACGGTCTTTTTTAACGCGATTTTGAAATAACACGGTTCACCAATACATTTTTTTACACGAATTTTTTGTTATAGCACGAATCCAAAAAAAAAAATTTTAATTCTAATTTTGATAGCGTCTTACAGAAACCATTTCATGGCGAATAAAAAGCTGATCTGTTTACAAATTGATTCAACAACTGCTTTGTTCCTGAAGTCCAGAAATATATAGAAGAAAAAGGTTTGGAATTCAAAATACTTTTGCTCGTTGACAATGCGCCCAGCCACTCAGTGTTGGATCATCCAAATATTCAATTGCTATTTTTACCGCCTAATACTACCTCGCTGATTCAACCACTCGATCAGGGCATTACAGCAACATTTAAAATGTACACTTGCTTCTGTTGCCATTAAACAATTGCGCCAATCAACCTTAAATGCTTGTTGTAAAAAAACATTGCCAGCATGCGTCAAAAGTGGATGTTTTGTAGTAGAAAAATCAGCTGTGTGTTCTGAAATTATAACTCTATCAAATACAATTGGTGGCAACGGTTTTAACAACATTCAAACGGGTGATATTGATGAATTGATGCGAGAAACCCCGTTGGGTTGGATGAAGATGATTTGATCGAATTTATGACAATTTGTGAAAATAAAGAAATCGATAATGACAAGATTGAAGATGAAGTGAAGCTGATTTAATTCGTTATGGCTTGAAATTTGCTACAAGTATGGAACAACATTTTCTGACATGGAGCGTGCATTGAAATTTCAATGTAGTCTTAAGTCATGTGTAGCTGTGCTATGCTTATATAAGCATATTGAGAAACCAAATAACCGACTTCACAACTACAAAAAAAAAACAGTTTTCTAAGGAACGTATTACTGTGTAAAAAAAGAGTTGGGTGCAGTTCCTATGTTTGCAATATTTTAACTAAATATTGCAATTATTAAAAAAAAACTCTTTAGTACAACCATAGACCAGACTTTTCTAATAGTTGTTAAAGTGAAATTGATTTTGTTGTTAATTTTAAGAGCCTTTGAATGTTCAAAAGTGTTGCTTTAACCCCATTTTATGGTATTTTACTTTGTCACTTTTAAAACATGTGATTTTAACTTAACAACCTAATCCTACATACTATACATATGAAAGAATTTATTCCAAATATCATTTAAATAAAAAATTATTGTGATTCATGACAAGGGCACGGAACTTTTGTAACAAAACGATACGTTTTCCCTCGTTCTCACAAAATCTTGATTAAAAGAACAGCATACTTATTGTGTTAACAAAAATTGTTCCTTAAACAATTCTAAACAAAGTTTGTCAACACTTTTTTTGATTTAATCAATAATTAAGGAGATAAAATCAAAATAATAATTTTTCCGTGTTTATACATAATAATTAACTTAGATGTTTAATTAATAGAGATGTAAAAAAATTTTATTAAGATAATTGATTCAAAATCGAAATTGAAACAAATTTTATTTAAAACATTTTTTAATAAAAACAATAATTGTTGAGATAATTAATTTTGATAGCATACTATTCAGAGGGAAATTAAAATTTCAAGTTAGCAAAAAATTTTATTAACAAACACTGTTCCTGAAGTAATTCTAAACAAATTTTGTTAACAACATTTTTT